TCCAGTCCCCCCTCGACTGGCAGGGGGGTTGGTGCTGGACCTGTACCTCCAGCCCCCTCTCTACTGGCAGGGGGTTGGTGCTGGACATGTAGCTCCAGCCCCCCCTCTACTGGCAGGGGGTTGGTGCTGGACCTGAAGCTCTAGCCCCCCCCCTCTACTGGCAAGGGGTTGGTGCTGGACCTGAAGCTCTAGCCCCCCCCCTCTACTGGCAGGGGGTTGGTGCTGGACCTGAAGCTCTAGCCCCCCCTCTACTGGCAGGGGGTTGGTGCTGGACCTGAAGCTCTAGCCCCCCCCCCGTCTACTGGCAGGGGGTTGGTGCTGGACCTTTACCTCCAGCCCCCCCCCCCCTCTACTGGCAGTGGGTGGGTGCTGGACCTGTAGCTCCAGCCCCCTCTACTGGCAGGGGGTTGGTGCTGGACCTGTAGCTCCAGCCCCCCCTCCTACTGGCAAGGGGTGGGTGCTGGACCTGTAGCTCCAGCCCCCCTCTACTGGCAGGGGGTTGGTGCTGGAGCTCCAGCCCCCCCCCTCTACTGGCAGGGGGTTGGTACTGAACCTGTAACTCAAGCCCCCCCTCTACTAGCAGGGGGGTCTGTGCTGGGCCTGCATCTCCAACCACTTCTCTACTGGAAGGGGGTTGGTGCTGGACCTGTAGCTCCAGCCCCCTCTACTGGCATGTGGTTCGTGCTGGACCTGTAGCTACAGCCCCCCCTCTACTGGCAGGGGGTTGGTCTTTGACCTGTACCTCCATCCCCCTCTACTGGCAGAGGGTTGGTGCTGAACCTGTAGCTCTAGCCCCCCCTCTACTAGCAGGGGGGTTGGTGCTGGACCTGCATCTCCAACCCCTTCTCTACTGGAAGGGGGTTGGTGCTGGACCTGTAGCTCCAGCTCACCCTCTACTGGCAGGGGGTTGGTGCTGGATTGTAGCTTCAGCCCCCTCTACTGGCAGAGGATTAGTCCTGGATGTTGTGATGGTGTCCCCTACAGTTTCTCCCATATGCCAGGTTTAAGAGTCATATCAGCTTACCTGCAGGTTCTCTGAGGCGCAGGGAATCTTTTGAGGTATGAGGCTTTCAGAATGGTTGTTAATTTGGGGAGAAATTTGCGTTTGTAAATTTGCAGAGAAGTGGAAAATTCGCGCCCTGGGTACAACAAAATGGCGCCGCCTGGCTTACAAATCCATCATTTTGTGTACGACGCCCTCTGATTCGGTGGCTGAGGTCACATGACTTCATTGACCAATCAGAGCCCGCCCCTGGGTCTGTGACGTCACCGAGAGACCTGGCCCGCCTGCAGAGCACCAGGCGCTCAGAGATACTCGGCGCTTCGTTGAGAGCGGACGTGCGCCGATTGAGCTCTCTAGTTTTGAGGTCTAGGAGCCTCCATAAGTGGATATACACAGCCTGACGAGTATATAGTGACTAACAAGGACTGCAGAACTTCAGGGAAGTGCGAGGAAGCCTAATCCAGCGGTGAAAGGGCGCCGAGGACCGTGTGCTAATAGTTTTGGAGAAGTTGAGAGAGTTACGACGGCTGGAGGAGTGAGTGACTCGCTGTCGGTGGAACTCCAAAGCATTCAGAGCTGTTGTGATCAGATCACGCCCACTAGGAACTCAGAAGGAAGAAAGTGCATCCTGATCCTTGAGTGTGGTCTCGGTGAAGGAATGCTTGAGGGAACGACGCATGCAGTGACGAATGGATGAGCCAACGCCCAGGAACATCACTCAGGGAATGAGCACGGAGATGCCGAGGATCTTCACACCTATGGACTGGTGATGCTTCTGGAACACTGGGAACAACGCGAGGAACGGAGTACCCAACGGGTGACTGGAGCCTAGGTGTCTGAGGACGGGATATGTTAAGGTAGATCATATTTCCCTCCCATAATTCCCTTGATTGTTAGGCAAGATAAGCCTATTATTATGCGTAGGCATTTATTAGAGTGCATATAAGTCATAGGAGTAGATTAGGCTGTGGGACAGCACGTATATATTATTCTACTGAGTGGTGAAGACAGCGTGTGGCCGCCCGTGGAGGAGTGAGGAGCGACGCTGACGGAGCCGCCCCAGTGAGGAGGGGCCAGTGATCCCTTTAATTCATCAGCTGATGCGAGCTGCTGGCGGCCACCAGAGGAGCCTTGCTGTCATCATTATTATTATTATTTCCATAAATTCATACATGTATCTTGTGTGTTGTAGTATACTTTGAGTAAACTTTTACTATTTTATCACTGCTTTTGGTATAACCTCCATCTCATTGAGCTTTGTGGTTAATAACATGATTATACTGTACTGTTACTGGAATGACAGAGAGAGAGACCCTGTGTTGGCAACACGACATGAGATTTGAACACTGGTACTGGCATTCCCTAATGAGTGACCCTGAGGTGGCAACATGACTGTACATTTGAATTCTAGTATTGGCAGCACACAGTAAGGTCCTAGGCTGCTGTATATATATTATATTTGAACTAACGGCGTTGCTGGGACGCAGAGAGAATTACCCAGCTGACGACCAGGAAGGAAGAGGTGGAAGTGAGGCTACGGCCGGAAGTCCGGCAAATTCTCTGCACGCACAGGTGGGCAGGCCCGGTGGAGAAGTCACATACTGCAGGATTGAGTTTAGTAGTGTGGGCTGGGCCTTCTCCTCTCCTCCTTGGGTCCAAGGTCAAGTGGTGACCGGTCTTGAGGCATGACTAGGAGAGCTCCCTGGGGTGATATGTGATACCCTAGTGGAGGGAGTGAAGTCCCATGGCATGAGGTTATAGGATCAGTAGCACGATCCCCATCTGTTTAACTGTAACCTCATGTAACACAAGGCCAAGGTGAGCGGTGCGTGACAACCTGTAGCTCCAGCCTCTATCTACTGGCAGGGGGTTGGTGCTGGACCTGTAGCTCCCACCCCCCTCTACTGGCAGGGGGTTGGTGCTGGACCTGTAGCTCCTGCCCCCTCTACTGGCAGGGGGTTGGTGCTGGCATTGTTTGGGAATTTGTTGGCAGTTTCAAGGCTTCAGTCTCTTGGAACCCAGCAGTGGTCTGTTTTGGTTCACTGTCTTCCTGAATGCTTTCCCGGTAGGTTGGTGGAGTGTCTCTCGCTCTCTGTGCCTCTGTGAGGGGGGCCAGGATCCCGGGTTCAATTGAGGATCACGGGTTCAATCACCGAACCTGTGGCTCGGAGCCGGTGGCTGAGCGGACAGAACACTGGACGCGTGATCCTGTGATCCCGAGTTCGATTCTGGGTGCCAGTGAGAAACAACGGGCAGATTTTCTTTTACCTTGATGCCCCAGATACCTAGCAGTAAATATTTACCTCGGAGTTAGTCAGCTGGCATGAGCTGCTTCCTGGGGGTGGAGGCCTGGTCAAGGACCGGGCCGCGGGGACACTAAGCCCCGAAATCATCTCAAGATAACCGTGCAGCACAGAAATGGTTCACATGTTTCCTTCCATCTGATGCCTCTGTTTACCTACCAGTAAATCTTTATCCAGGAGTTAAGCATCTACTGTGAATTGTATGTTAAGGAAAGTCTATAGTTGACCTTGGGGAACCTCGATATACTTAAGAACAAACTTCCTCTCCTCAAAACGCAACTCAATATCTTGTGATATGGTCTATGAGAGAAAATAAAAAAACTTACTGATAATTGCTTCTGGGGGATCTGTAGAGTGATTTCCTGAACTTTATCCATGATGCTGAAGGCTGAGTCTCCCAGGTGTACGGGGTCAGCTGTGGCACCTGTCTCTGTGGTCATCATCTCCAGGGCCTCCCTGATGGTCTCCTGCACCTGTCATTACCAACACAAACATTAATGGTGGAGGCTGAGTCTCCCAGGTGTACGGGGTCAGCTGTGGCACCTGTCTCTGTGGTCATCATCTCCAGGGCCTCCCTGATGGTCTCCTGCACCTGTCATTACCAACACAAACATTAATGGTGGAGGCTGAGTCTCCCAGGTGTATGGGGTCAGCTGTGGCACCTGTCTCTGTGGTCATCATCTCCAGGGCCTCCCTGATGGTCTCCTGCACCTGTCATTACCAACACAAACATTAATGGTGGAGGCTGAGTCTCCCAGGTGTACGGGGTCAGCTGTGGCACCTGTCTCTGTGGTCATCATCTCCAGGGCCTCCCTGATGGTCTCCTGCACCTGTCATTACCAACACAAACATTAATGGTGGAGGCTGAGTCTCCCAGGTGTATGGGGTCAGCTGTGGCACCTGTCTCTGTGGTCATCATCTCCAGGGCCTCCCTGATGGTCTCCTGCACCTGTCATTACCAATACAAACATTAATAGTGGCACCTGGACTATAATGAAGCATCAGGCTCTGAGTAAAGTAACTGGACTATAATGAAGCATCAGGCTGTGAGTAAAGTAACTGGACTATAATGAAGCGTCAGGATCTGAGTAAAGTACCTGGACTATAATGAAGCATCAGAATGAGTAAGTAATTTGACAACATAAGTAATTTTGTTTCTCTACACTGACCACAGTGTAGAGAAACACCAAGATGACAGTTGACTTTATTAATAAAAATGTTTCAGGTGTTAGAGCAAAATGTTTCCTATATATAAAGTCAACTCTCATCTTGATGTGTCTCCATGTCAAAAGTGTTTATATAGAGGCAATACTACACTCAGTTGGGTGAGAACAATGTGACCTTCAGCAGCGTACCTTCACTGAGGTGTGGACAGTCTTGACATTTGAGAAGAGTTCCCGGCACTTCTGGAGCCAATCTTCTACCTTCATGCTGCACTCATCAGCTGTGCCTATGGTTGTGTAAACTTCCTGTGGGGTGTTGACTGTGTCGAGGCTCCCCAACATGGCCTGCAGCTGAGTCTTTCCTTCCTCTCCTTGTGTTGTCAGATCCACCACACTGGTATCCTCCAGTTCCAAGAGCTTCATTGCTGACTTGTTCTCCTCTACCAGAGCATAGAGTCTGTCCTGGAGCTGGAGGTGGCAAGTCTTCCAGTCCCCCAGCTGCCCCCGGTACTCCCCCAGCTGGGACAGTACCTCTTCACAGCTAGTAATGAGGCTGCTGATACTGCTCTTCTGCTCCTGCACCAGGGAATCTAACTTCTTTTTTACTGGTACAGTTTTCTTTTGTGTTAGCTGGATATCTTTCAGTTTCCTAACAAATGCCTCCACAGCATAGCTAATTGGGAACTGAGTAGCAGCTGTGGCAGCATGCTCGGCACGGCAGCTGGGGCAGGTTAGTTGACCATTCTCGATAGCATTGTCAATACACTGGGAGCAGAATGTGTGGCCGCACGGCAGTGTGCGAGGCCGTAGCTGATTGTCATCATAATCGTTATAACACACTGAACATTCCTCTGGCTTGTTATCCTGTGGAAAGAATATTTGGTTAAGCTATATGTATTATTACAGTACAGTGTCACCTCGAAAAAAAGTAATATTACAGTACAGGTACTTTATTTACTAATAGTAATTTTATAATATTTACATACATTTTTTGTATTAGCTATTCAAGAGCAGAGTTAATATTACTGACAGATTAACATATCCACAGAAGGGCCAATATTTTTTATAAATATATCCCGGAGTATAGGATAATATTTTTAGGTAACATATGGCAGCAGTAGGGCTGCTTGCAAGCCGTACCCGAGATTACAGACTAACAAAACCCGTCCTTACTTTCTTACGAATATTGGAAGGAAATGTATTTATCGTATGTGATAATGGAGGAAAGATCAAGTATTCTTAGTTTAAGTTGGTCTTAATCCCTCGAAAGGGAAGACAACGAAGGGAGCGCAAGTCCCTCAAGATGCTCACAAAGTAATGGGAGTACTTAAGCGAATTTTCATTGTGGGAGATTCCCAGGTGAGGTATTTGGCTAAAACGTTTTGTGCCAGGGATAGGGGAAACAAGTTAAGGGTTTGCTATTCGGGAGCAGGAATTGGTGATATTGTTAACAACATGAATGATGTTATAACTGGAAATGGGAACAAACCCATTATTTGTATCAGTGCCGGTGAAAATGTTGTAGGACAAGTTAGGAGTGAGACACTGATACAGAGGTCTAAGACAGCCATAGAATTAGGAGCAAGGGAGGAATCCCGGTCATATGTGGCATTCTTCCAAGAAAGGGAGATGGAAACAAATAGTTGACGAGATCACTTGGTGTCAATTGCCAACTGGACAAATATTGCAAATTAAATGCAATATCATTCGTAGATAACTGGGAACACTTCAATGGAAGAAATGACATGTATGCTCAGGACGGGGTGCATCTATTTAGGGCTGGGGTGGTTGCTGTTGCCAACTCATTGGAACCTGTGGTTGGAGGGGTTTGTTTTGGTTTAAACTGTAACTGGATAGTGTTATAGAAATTGATATGGAGAAAGTAGGTAATAAAAGTATGTATTAGTGGAGGAAGCAAATTGGCAAAATGAACAGGGGAAAGAGAAGTGCCTCAAAATAGCAATACACTTAAGGTATATTACACGAATAGTAGGAGTCTAAGAAACAAAATACACAATTTAAATGCTCGTCTGCACAGAAAAAAATTTATATTATTGCACTTACCGAAACATGGATGAAAGTAGAAAATAAAGAACTAATAGCTGAATATCAAATAAGCGGATTTAAACTATTTCACACAGATAAATATATTAGACGAGAAAGGGGGAGTAGCCATATATGTTCGGGAAAATTTGAAATGTAGTCTCAAAGAGGGAATCAAAACTGAGCTACACACAGAAACTATTTGGTTAGAATTAAATGAAAAAGCTATAATCTTATAATAGGAGTTATATAAAGGCCACCAAACTTTGACAGGATGGAAGCAAAGCATCAATGGGATGAAATATCTAGAGCATCTAGGTCAAGCAGCATTTGTGTCATGGGTGACATAGCTACTTACACAGTCAGCTGGTGGCGGCCGCCCTCAAGGCCAGATGCACTAATATTTCTCCTCCAACAATACTGTTTGTGGTGTTATTACCCTATATATGCACATTATATATAAGTATCTACCTGTTTTATTCACCATACTTGTACAAGTAAGCTGGTATGGTGCCCAAAGACCATTGTGGCTACCAGTAAACAACATAAGTTGTGCTCTCAACCTACTCCTATTGCTGTTATTACACTCTGTACACACGTTATATATAAGTATCTACATTTGTGTTCACCAAAGCCAACTACTAAGCTGGTATGGTGAGTGCAGTCAATAAAAGGTGGCCACACACAGTCAGAAGACAACGCCACCACCCTCCCTCCCACAGCATTACTCCTCCCTCCATGGAGCACAGTGCTAAATATCACCACAATCCTACTATTATCAGAATCCTGGTCAGTTTTATCACAGTCAGGGGTCTTCTGTAATAATATCTTCGCTAAATAATAGCAAGAACATGTATATTATGGCATTTTTAGGCAATGCTGTGGTCACAAGCTGAACAGCAGTGCTGTGAGCTCATGCTGCGTGCGTCAGGCTTGGTTGCTTACTCAATACTGAGGCCCCTCACACTCAGGAATTTGGCCCACGATTTTTTTTTAAATGGCGTCTGTTTACAAGAGCCCTGATGAAAGTGTGGTGAACCCTGTATATCCGCGGGCCGTTAAATCTTGCGTAGTACTCCAATACATCATATGATGTGTAGTGCAAGTTACTGCACATCACTGAACACATCATATGATGTGTTGCGCAGTTAACGGGTTAAGGAACCAATGCAGGAAAATAATATTTTAAACTTAGTGCTAACAGGGAAACACAAATTAATGAAATTGAAATAGGGAGTGAGCTAGGGAACAGAGATCATAAAGAAATCAGATTTAGCGTAGAATGGAATAGATTTATATGAGAAAATTCTGTTAAGGTGCCAGATTTTCAAAAAGCTGATTTTAATGATCTAAGAATGTTTTTGGGTGAAATAGAGTGGAAAGTCCTGGGCACGGGAAGTGGGCTGGTCTTGGTGCGAGACGAGAACCCAGCAATTGGTGATGTAAAGAGGGATTTCAATGTGTATTCAAAATTTAACTTATCTAACAAAATTCTAAACAAAGCACAGGAACGTAGTATGCCATACAGATTGAATAGATCGAATTCTAATGACCCGAAATGGATAACAAAGGATCTGAAGAATCTTATATGTAGAAAGAGAGCTTGGTACAAAAGGATTAGAAATGGGAAATTCAGTTTAGAACAAGAATTCATCCAACTGGTTAGAAATGTTAAAAAACCACCATTGAATGTAATGAAACATCATTTTCTGGGTGAGTCCCTTCGACTCCTCGGAGCTATCTAGGCTGATAAAGACATCCCTAACCTTTGGCATCAGTGTGGATGGAGTTCTAGGCTTACCGGGGACCACAAGCCAGAATCTGGCCCTCTCAGAGAGGCACGAGGAGCAATGGCCTATAGAAATGCATATGTGATTTGGAGCATTCTATATCTGCCATCGACAGGGACAGGCACCCTGAAAGGTAAGCGTCTCAAAACAAACCCATATTCTGGTTAAAACAACAAAAATAGCCAAACAAGTGGACAGAACTCCCCAAATGAAAACGAGCAATCAAGCATGATGTCACACGAGCTGTGCAGCATGTCTGCACAGCTCCACCCTCCCCGGGAAAGGAGGTGGAGCTGTTCAACTTAGTCTGGCTGTCAAAACATGCGAAAAAACGCCAACAAAGGGGAGGGGGGGGGGGGGGGGGTTTGACGGGGAGCCTCCGGGGGCTAACCCAGAAAATGGCGTTTCATTACATTCAACGTTGGTTTTCTGGGGGGAACCCCTTCGGCTCCCTGGAACTACTTAACCAAAGACAAAAACTAGAGGAACTTACCCGGGAGTCGATCAATACTCACATCTCAACACGAAATCGAGACAATAGGCTGCAACCGCCGACCCAAAGCGATACAGGCCCGACTAGGCCCAGGAACAATCATGAGGTAGCATGCAGCCAGGACCCTGTTTGACCGCCAAAAACCCCGTGCCCGATTGTCAGCCCAAGAAATGTTACCGAAGATGGCAGCAAGAGCAGCAAACTTACGAACGTCATGGGCACGGAGATAGACCACAAACTAGGTGGACCGAATAACCCTGCGGAAAACCTGAGAGACCCAAACCCGGGAACAGGGAAGAATGGAAACCGGCGCAATTCAAAGCGCGTCCCTGGCCACCGAGGCTGTGGCACGCAAATAACGGCAGAGCTCTGCAACCGGACGCAACACATGATGAACCCCGGCCTGACTAAAGTTAATTGATGATCTCTGTCAGAAAAGGAGACAGCTGCAAGCAAACAGCCTAACACGAAGGACCAAAGGAGTAGAAAAACTGCGCCGGAGGAGAGCATGAAGCTCCCCCGACCCGACCCCCAGAGGCCAATGTTAACAAGAAAAGAGCCTCGGAAAAACAATCCAGAACTGAAGGGGTCACAAGAAACTGAAGAGAAGAGAGGAGAAAGCCCCAAATCAAAGGAGCAGGACGGCTCAAGCGGCACATGAGCAGGCCGGAGGTGAACCACACCAGAGACAGCTCGCGAATTGGTGCAGAAAGAACACCAAAACCAAAGTAAACCGGAGCAGCTCCACCAGTGCCGCACAAGACAAGGTGACAGTATGTGGCAAGATGACAGTCCTGAACCTCCACAAAAGAAGGATAAGACTACACCAAAAAAAACGCAGCCTACCTATGAAGGGACAAAAAAAAAAGGGAAGGACCGCCAAAAAAAACATACCGCCGCCGAGACGAAGCACACAGGTGGGACACCATCAACAAAGCCACCTGAACACCAACAGATGGTGAGAGACTCGAGACAGAAGTATCAGACTGGAAGACTCGAGGCGGAAACCGAACCAGCCCTGTCACAGATCGGACCGAGCATGGGAAAAGGCGGAGCTGTGGGAAAACCCCGGATGCGAACACTAAGCAAGCAGCGCCAGAAATCAAGGCAAGCAAGGAACCAGATGGAACGTCTGCCATACAGAAAATTCCCCAATACTAGCAAGCTCCTCAGGAGATCGGAGACGCCGTGGTCCTGTCGCGAAACTCGTGAGAAGTGTCATCTTGAGATGAGGAACGTGTCAACTGGTGGGTTAAGCCAGGAAACAGGAACTCAAACCCGACGAGCCAGAAAAGAACCAACCCAGGCGAGCAGACATGCCCTTTCCAGGGGGAACCCTCCAGGACCCCTGTAGGACCAACAAGTTCGACAACGGATAACAACATGAAGCAGCTAGCAGAAAAATGCCAAACCGCAGGCGCTGCAAACAGCAAGAACAAAATTGCGACGAAAACCTAATAGTCAGGGCCCAGGTCGAGGTCAACAAGAAAGTAAGCATCACGAGTCGAAATGCAAGACGCGTTGCAAAATACAGGGACACCGAATCCTGCAGGAGCAATGCAACCAGCCCCGCAAGGCAGAACGACGCACGCAAAGCCATGTATGAGGAGAACTAACCAGGACATGAACAGCACGAAAACAAAAACATGCCATCCAGAAAGAAACACAAAGAAAAGACCGGAGCCAGGGGCGTAAACCTAGCACCTCCTGACGCAACGAAAAGACACTGTAGGGGCAGGAGAGGACAAACGGAATCTACATCCACCTGCATACAGGGCAACCCAGAAGCTGGTAATGACATACAAGGAGAAGATGGAAGAACACAGGATCATATCTGAGCACGCGAACTGTGCAAAATCAGGGAACTGAACACGGACATAGTCCAACCTAGCACAAACATTAGTATAGCCAATATGCACATACTAAAAAACACAATGTGTAGTATAGAGATAGGAAATGACCTTAAAGACAGTCCAAGCACCAACAGCCAGGGACAAGAAAGTAGAAGCAATATGAGGAACAAAGAAGACTGAGGCAGCAAATGGGAATGTCATGAACTGGGCCTACTACTACTACACACACAGAGAATCCAATGGATATGGAAGGGCTCACCCAGGAACTGCACGGCGGTCAATGAACGAGTGTCCAGAGAGCATGGAGGGAGTCTGTGACGGGAAAGTGTTGGAGTGTTGATGTTCAGCAGTCCTCCTGCCGACCAGGCAGGTGTCAATGCCTGGTCACACTTACAAAAAAAAGATAGACTGCTTGCCTGTTGTCTGTGGTAAGTTAGAGGGAGGAACACGTAAAACACAAAGTATGAACAATGAAACTTTAATATATTTACTTTAAACATAAATGAAAATAAAGACAAATCTCGGGGTATGAAAAATACAATTAAATAACAAAGATAAATGCAAAGGCAATGTGAGACACAATAGTATAAAGGTGAAATAGTAAAATGGTGCTGAGAATATCGGCTATGGCTGAGACCTCCCTTCGTATACAAGCCAGTAAGCTTAGTATGCCAGAGAGAGATGTCAACTCTAAGAGCACAAAGAATATTCTGAAGTTGATAGCTGGTCAGGGCTCCGACGTCGATTCAGGTAGATGGCGCGGAGGTGCAGTGTGCAGGTGTGCAGTCGGCGAGTCACCAATCAGGAGCAGGCAGGCTGGTATGGGTAGTTTGCTGGTTTGACGACAAGCCAGCATGGAGGGTGTGTGGAGTAGGGGGGATCATGGGTACGTTTTGCCTCCTGGTCAAAACGTTTTGTGCTACCGGTGACGTATCTTGAATGTAGCATCTTATACTTGTTAACTGGATGTAACTTGAGGTATGGAAGAGCAGGCTCAATCTCTCTAGAAAGAGATTATCGTCACAAGTCAAAGAAGGAGCGCCCAGAAGCAAGAAAAGACCCAGGCACTGAAAGACTAAAGAAAGAACTCGAAAGACGGAGCTGTGCCCCACCATGTAATGAATAACAATACAGATTGACAAAGAAAGGACACGGTAAGAAGCACGCAATGGCCCATACAAAATGCCACAAACAATACCAAACACTCATCCAAAAACCGAGAACCAGCGCCTGGCCAAAAGTGTTGCCAGATCGTATAAGCTCACCTGTAGAGCTTATGCACTATCGTGTTACGACACAGCATAGCCGTATAATGTTCCAGGAGCATCGCTAGTGAAATACAGCCAGAGTTGTATGTGAAGGAGGAAAAGATGAGGAGTAGAAGTGAATGAGGCATCATACACCCGTATGTAGAGAAAAGAACTAGGTGTCCTCCCCATATACATAATCTATAACACCCCCAGTATCTAATGGGCTCTGACTGGAGAGATAAGAGGAGCGAGAGCGGTGAAGTACCCGAGAGAAAAGGACGCGAAACACCAACACTTGTGTACACTGTCAATAAACAAAACAAACACCCGCGGCACATACGCAGGACACATGAGGTCGGAACCACACTACCCACCTGGTGGGGGAGGGTGCCAACTAGGTGTACCTGGTTGATACCTGGTTGATGGGGTTCTGGGAGTTCGTCTACTCCCCAAGCCCGGCCCGAGGCCAGGCTCGACTTGTGAGAGTTTGGTCCACCAGGCTGTTGCTTGGAGCGGCCCGCAGGCCCACATACCCACCACAGCCCGGTTGGTCCGGCACTCCTTGGAGGAATAAATCTAGTTTCCTCTTGAAAATGTCCACGGTTGTTCCGGCAATATTTCTTATGCTTGCTGGCCCTCCAGTATCTTCCAGGTGTATATTATTTGATATCTCTCTCGTCTTCTTTCTAGTGAGTACATTTGGAGGGCTTTGAGACGATCCCAATAATTTAGGTAATTGTATTTAACGATTATTTTCAATGCCGAGACAGAGCACGGAGAGAAGATGTTAAGTATAAATACAGTAATCAGATATAGTATCAAAAACCAAGAAGAAGCACTGAAGAGGACCAACGTGTCCTAAATGGAGATAAACCTCACCGGAAGCCGCCAGACGTTCCAGTAATATGGGAAGTATCAAAGACCTTACCGAACCTTCGAGATCCTAGAGAAGCAAACAAAATCATGAAGGCTCATATGGGCCCAGTGGTATCCGAGACCAATGGTCATGCAGGATCCCGATACGAGGAGAACAAGACTGTGACATGATGGAGAATACATGTCCAAGATAAGAAGGGTGAGAAAATGGCAAAAAGTACCCACCGGCAGGACGGAACCGACGAACCCGATGGGACATGGAACCGAACCCGGGGAGGGGTCGGCGCCCAAAAAACTCGTACGCAGAGGGGGAAAAGGAAAACCCTACTCCCCGTAACGGCCAGCCCTGCTCAGAGGGTTGGAAAACCCCAGCAGGGTCCAATGGGGCCCAAAGCTCCCAAGGCAACTCCTTCCCAACCCTAGGAACCTCCACATCAGGCCCCGGGAGCGAGTCATTCCCCAAAGCCCCATCTTCACAAGAAAAAGCCGGAACAGCCGGAAAAGCAGGATGAGAGGGGGCCCATTGGTCAGACCCCGGTGCTACAGCTGGAGGAACTGACTCGAATACCTCCATCAACTCCCTGGAAGGGGCAACCCCTGACACTGCCCGAGTCTCAGAAACTTCTAAACCCTGCCCCGACTATGAAGCCCTCAGACGCTTCGGAGCAGGAAGCAAGAGAAAGGGGGGGGGGGGGCGACAGAATGAACCACAGCAGGGACTGAACAAGAGGGTGCCGACTGAATCAAGGTCGAAGCAACCAACAACCCCAAGTCCGGGTCACTACGGGGCAGCCTTAGGGGCAACCGGGGAAGCAACTAACGAAACATGTAACACCTGATCCGCCTGCACCTGAAGAAAATCATCAGAGTGGGTGAATTGAGTCACAAACAAGCAACAGTGCTCACAGGACTTAGGGTCGAAGGTGTCACTAACCCAACAGGCAGCATGATAGAGGCAAAAACAATGAGCGTTGCCCTGAGACAAGGGGGACAGAGCAACCCTCAAACGCGCACAAAGTGAGAGGAGACCCAGGGTCGCATCCATCAGACCCGTGTACCATCTCGGGGATTCCCGGGGCCCTTAGACTCGTATCGCTAAGGGTAAGCCCAGGCGGGGTACTACTAACCGGCACCTAACAAGTCTACCAAACAAACTGCAGAAGCTGAACAACCGGGACGTATCCACGAATGGGGGCGAAGCAGGGGGTACCACCAGACACAAGAAGTCAACACCCTA